TTTTTATTATTCCTAATATCATAGACGGCCTCGGAAATCATATGAGCACAGACCGGAGACTGGAAGATCATACTAAAAGATGGTATAGTCCGTTTGATTTCATTTGACACCGATGAATTTCTTACAAATACAAAATCTAATAAATGCAACAAAACAAACTTTGAACAGTCACATACCAACAATTTTGGACACCCGAATAAAAAAGTTGTTTAACAAACCATCATTATGTTGTTGTCACTTTTCGCTATTTTTTACGAGGGGAACCTTTTCGCTGATAAAAACATTTTATACTTCAAAAGAGGCAGCAGTAGGCTTTCGTAGTCGCAGACTAAACTGGTCAGCACATAAATAATACATGAACCTAACCCGATCCAATATGTTATTTAACATTCTGAATTTATTCAGTATAAGGCCACAGGCCCAAGTACAATATGAATGCAAGAATATATGATAAAAGCGTTGTGCTTCACACCGAAGGCCCATGTTCGACGGCCCAGATACAACGTTGAAACTGTTGGAATATTGCTAAAAGCGACGCTAAATCAAACTTACTCACTCACAATATATATATAAAACGATTGAAATAATTAAACATAAACCAAAGTTTAGGTGACGTATGTCATTATTTGCGACAGAAATTTGCTTAGGTTGAAACGTTTGCCCTCTTTACAGCGTACAATGTCCATCATGTACAGCCTAGAGATCCTGATTACATCCGTATACGCTGTTTGTGTTTGTTCATTGTGCACCCCACGCCGGGTGAAGGCTAAACATGTAGACTGTTTGTAAGCGGATTTCTAGAGCCCTCTCGCGTTAATTAAGCACAACTATCATGTTCTGTTTTCAAGCTTGCTAGGCTGAATGGACAACCATGTCTTTGATGTACGTCGAATCAACAAAACATCGCATACGGACTGCTGTCGGAAACGAAACCTGCATGAATAAAAAGCTGTCGAGAACTTCAAAATCCAAACGATTTTTTTCATTCACTGCATTGTGTACAGGTGTTCTCTGTATACGTGGAGGTTGTTCAAGCTATAGGGAGTTGGGATTAGGCGGGTGTCACGAATGGTCAAGTCGTCTAAGGCAACAGAAACCTGTAAATGTGGGTTCGAATCCCATTTTACCTCGTTTATGTTTCTAGGTTTGGCATCACCATGCCTTCTGGAACCTGCATCACGTTGGACTCTCCTCCCATATCAAGCTAATAAGCCTTGACATAACTCTAAAATTGTTCAAAGAGACGTTAAAACAAGCTCACTAAGTCGCCCCTTCGAATCTATGATGGCGGGTTCAAGACCTGTTTTTTCAGTATGATAACTGTTTGTACATGTTAGTTAACATCCCACATCAAACTTACACTGCGTGATAAAACTTGAATACTGTTCAAAGCGGTGTTACACCTAACTCTAAATTTCATCATACACAAAGGACTTTGAACTCTTACCGACCCGTGAAGATCCCTGTTAGAATATATCTTAAGCAACCCATGCTTGTCGTAAGAGACGACTCACGGGATCGGGTGTTCAGGCTCTTTCACTTGGTTGACACATATCATCGTATCCCAATTGCGCAGATCGAAGTTCATGCTGTTGATCACTGGGTTGTCTGGTCCAGACTCGAATATTTACAGACCGCCGCCATATAGCTGGAATATTGCTGAGTGCGGCGTATAACTAAACTCACTCACTCACTAAACACTTATCAGGATGGCACCGATGCCAGAAACTGAGTACTCATGGAATCCTGTCGAGGTGGAGTTGACGTTTTAGTTTCAGATGTCGAAACCAGGTTCTCACAAACAATAAACATGTAATCCAAATTAAACGAAACTAGTATTAAGAGCCTGCTTGTCGTCATCCGCAAGCATACTCTGAACAAACATTAATCTATCGAAACAAAACAGTGGTCAAAAAACACATGTCATGCTTTTGCAAGTATCCAAAGACGTTAACGCGACATAACGTAAAGTGGTTCTCCGTTTAAGGTCGATCAGTGACACGTAATTTGGTTAACTGATGCCTCTCTCTGTATGTTGCGTGTTCCTGCAACAGCATGTTACATGGGTGACCACTAGTTGTGTTTCTTGTGTACCGCATTTAAAAACGTCTAACATCTTCAGAATAACTGATGTACGGTTCATTTGAACACGAGTCCATATGATATGCATGTTGATACAGGAAGGTGATTCCTTCACTACATATTATGGTCAGACTCGTGAAGTCCGGGTCCAGATTCGATTATTAACAGACCGCCGCCATGTAGCTGGAATATTGCTGAGTGCGGCGTAAAACTAAACACACTCACTCACTGTTATGGTCAATGCCTGACCAGTACCCGTATGTGATAAGAGTGTCGAGACGATGCGGCTTCACAGCAAGCAATGTAAGTTTTACTCTCTGTTTCCAAATATGTTCTGAAATCTCCAGTTCTATGGTGACACGGCGTCAAGCTGTACGTTGAATGACACAAGTATGCAATGACTGTCCCTGTGACAATTCGGTATTTAATGCTATTTGGGATGAACGTTAAAATGTTCCCAAAATGTCACAAGTTCACGGTCATCAGCGAAACGTGCACGTTGGGGATTACCTAGTGGTGACACGGTTGTGTTGGGAGCTAATCCCAGCAATTAACTTTCTAACAATGCCATGATTATTTAGTAGGCCTCATCTGAATCCCGTGACCACACTAAAACAGACAAACTATGCTGGCAGCTGTAGTATAGATTTGCTGGCTTACTACATCATAGGATAGCAAACCGTCTTCACGTTCAAATGCCTTTTCTGCACGTCATCATTTGAAGCGAATAATTATAACATAGAAATTCAATACATACACTGTATTCCTTATTCATCATAACTGTTTACATTCCTTATTCTCAAAAAAGTTTGAATTAAAATTTACGTATATTAGCAACAGTGAGTTTAATGGACAGATCAATAAGAATATTATAAACTGTAAAAAATTGTCGATCGTGTCTTTGAATATCTTTACCGTCGGTATATGACTCGACTGACCAGCCTTCTCTTTGGATGGGTTTGGCGGATGTATGTTCGTGAAACAAGTTTGACTTCGAATTAACATCTATTTCACAACAGACAGGGCAATCAATGTCACACAATACCTTAAAATAAAGCTACACTGAAGTATCACTTTCACCGCCATTTGACGGTGTTCCTGAACAAATATTCCACAACAACACTTTCTTTGAGCATGCGCAGCACGTGAGAAAGGTGATTAAGCTGTGAACGCGCAAATATTTGACGCTCCCTCCTCCAGTTGAAGGTAAAAAGAGATGGTAAGATCCTATTCGCACCCATTTCCCTTCAGGTGATCAGGATCTTCTGTTAAGGAAAACAGAGGTGGGGAGAGAGCATAACCCAGAGGCACTCCGGTCTACGACGGGGATCAGTTGAAGATTCCTCCCTGAAGTAGTGATTCCTTGTCTTTCAAAGATGTCGTGCATTGGATATTTAATAGCGGCTTCTTTGTTGGCTCTCTGTGCAAAAGAAGGTGAGAACCTGTATACAGTGAAACTTGGTTAATCTGGAGGATTGTCTTTAGGGAAAGTCTACATTTATACACTGGAAGTGCTACCATGTGGATTGACGGGACTGTATACTGTCATGGCGTTACAGGGTTTCAGAATTTCAGAATCATAACCAATCTTATGTTTGATCTGTTGCACAACAATAACTAGTGTCGACATTCAAATGATAGGGCACCTTCTGGAAAGGCTGCTTATACCTATTAGTCAGTGCGTGTATTTTATAAGCAATATGGTCTAAAGTATAATCATTACGGATGCTGGTATAGTCATACCTGCTATAATTTACAGGGGGGAAATGATATTAAGTGCATGTCCAAAAGAGTCTGAGATTCATTTTCGCAAAATACTTCTGATTTTCAGGTTCAATTCGGTCAAAACACTGGGTGGGTGTGTTTCCTGCCTGACGTAGCACAAACGTACTCAGCTCATGACAACAGCATCTAAAACAAATGTGAAACACAACTTTGCACTGATGCATCATTAACGTCATTAGCAAAAGAGTCATCATCTATGTCTATTGACCTGAAATGACACGTTGATCCATCACACTGTAATTACAAGTGGCCTATGCCGCTCAGATTGAATTAACAAGTACTACAAACGCGAAGGTCGTGCCATTCGTTGACCACACATGACAACTGTACATTGAATGCGACACCAGTACTTCAAGCACGCTATAGTCAAACAGTTCCAGCATTTGACATTTGATGAAGAAGTAATGTTCGTGTATCGTCTCACACCTAGAAGGTAGCATCGATAGAAAAGTTTTTTTGTTGGATTACGTTGGACTCGATATGATATGAGCAGGTTGTGTGTCTATAAGTCACGATAGAGGAGATGTCATATATAATGCAATTATTCACTAGGCTTCCTGGTCGAAATTTCATTCAAAGTTCTTCACGGTATATCTTGCGGACAGCTAAACTAAACATAAGTTCTATAGAAACATTAACTTATTTATTACATCTAGTGCATTTGAACGGGAACTAATGATTAGCGATAGCTCACTAATGTGTCGAGGTAGTTCTACCTTCAGCTTTATGCTGTGGTTTAAACTTTATACTGTGGAGCAACTCATTATCCACATCTATAACCCTTGCAAGAAACTTGTGTTTGACGGACCAGATCAGTGCTTCAGGTAACTGGTTCAGACAGATCAAGGGTGAAGGTTAGCCCACGATCAGCAGATCCTATCATGACAAAGGGGCTGTATAAAGCTTCACGAATTACTGTTACTCTCAAATAATTTAAACGTGTACCCCTTTCATTAACAGTTTTAGATCAATTTCAGCAAGGGGCTCAGCGATAAATGATGATTGATGAGTTCGTGCTTTAAAAACCCGGGCTGGATTCTGGACATTAGTTCAGTGAGTGGAGCCTTTCCCGTTGTGATATTGCTGGGGGATATCTAGAAGCAGTGTAAACTTAAACTGACATTCCATTCCAGTGGCCTCGCAGAACTTCAACGTGGTTTGCTACTACACCAACTGGTCACAATACAGGTTGGGGACGGGGCAGTTCTTTCCCGAGGACATTGATCCTTTCCTGTGCACCCACATCATCTATTCCTTCGCCTTCCTTCAGGGCAACATCCTGATCCCGACTGAGTGGAATGACGACACGGAGTTTCCCCCAGGCTTGTAAGTTTCATGAAATAATGGATGGGCAACATCTTCAGTGTTGTCTTACTCCGTGTTTAAGGAACAATACCTTACTAGCAGTTGATGTGTATGAACTGAAACACCCCGTGGACATTTGGTGTCAATGTCACTTGCCGGCAGATATTCAAGACATTCTGTATCATGTATAATTTATGTCAAAACTGTTTTACTGCATAATTTGTTATCCCCCAGAGGATTTCTGTTTTCCATAACGACCTCCATTTTCGTAAAGATAACTCTCTCCAGATAGTCACGCGATATAAAGACGCCATCAAATATGGACTGATTCAGGAATATGCTTTATCTCTAATATTTGCGAAGACGGATTAATTGACTGGTAGCTGACAACTATACTTGTTGGTTGTTGGTGATAGTGGCAATATTTTCAGGATGAACTGGCCTTTAAAGACTTCTTGCTTCTTTCTACATGATTCATGTGAAGATATAAAGTGCTTCGTTCCTGAAGCTGAGAGAATTTTAATGATCGCAATGAATTAATTGTTTTAAACTTAAAGCCATAAAAGGTTGACATAAGAGCATTTTTGCTAATAGTTGATGACATTCAGTCCCTATGAAACAAGAACTAACCCGAACGTATTCAGCACAAACTTTTGAGCAACGTTACGTCTTTTTTTGCAAGATACGGTAGAATGATGAGTCTAAAAGAGCGGAATCCAAACCTGAAGGTCCTGCTTGCTGTTGGAGGATGGAGCATGGGAACTCAGACTTTCTCGGCAATGGCTTCCACAGCCTCCAGCAGGCAGGAGTTCGTGTCCTCGACTATCAACTTCCTACGAAGCAGAGACTTTGACGGCCTTGACCTTGACTGGGAATACCCCGGATGGGGACCACGGGGAAGTCCGCCAGAGGACAAGCGCCGTTTTACGTTATTATGTCGGGTAAGAGTTTGTCAATAGACACGTGTTATTTATAACAACTTTTAAGATGCCTACTTTTGAAGATGCTGATTTTATAAAGGCTGATGGTCGACATCTTCCATCCTAGGATCTGAGGCGAGGATTTGAAGCCGATGCGAGGGACACTGGTCTGCCCGTCTCCAACTGACAGCAGCAGTAGCGGCGAGTCCCGCCATTGTGGATAGCGGATATGAAGTTCCTGAATTATCTGAGTGAGTTAGTTGCGAGGTTGACAATGGCACTGGTTCAGATATACCATGCTGTGTGCGCAGAGTGAGCACCCTAATGTAAGCAGATGAAGTTTTACGCCACGTGTAGTAAATTGACGGACACGCTTATGAGGAACTGACGGATCCATCGAACCTTTCTGAGTCCGGATGCCTGTATATATTTGTTGACATGCTTATAACGAAGTACGGTTATAATGATTTATAATTGGTTCGTTGTAACCGTAATTTAATGTATTTCCACCACAGAACCTGAGGAACACCAAACATGGCCTACACACATTAACCATGAGGAGAATCGAACCGGGTGTTTGGCATGGCAAATGGCCGCTTGAACCTTTACGCTAACCCACCGTCCCTTGATTTACAGAAAATATATTTCCAGGAAACGCCATGAACTAAATATGAAACAATAACTTTCGCGAACACCTGGTATCGTCACTATTTCATAGTGATTCATTAATACAAACTCTGTCATATAGTATCGCATGGTGACAATCACTGATTGCCTGGTCCAGACTCGATTTGTTTACAAACAACATCGTACAGCTGTAATACTGCTGAAACAAATATATACTCATAATATAGTCACAATTGTACAATCGACTCTGCGTTCAGCAGATATTTCTTATGGATGTGGACAGGGTTAGCTTCTATGTACAACCACATTGTGTGATAAAGCAGCTGTTCAGAAATGTAGAGATCCTTGAAAACATACGGAACGTTTTGGCGTGTTAATGATACAAACAATGAAAGAGGGCTGTGGGGTAGCCCAGTGGTTAAAGCGTTCGCTCGTCGATTCCCCACAGGGATCCAATGTGTGAAGCCCATTTCTGGCGTCCCCCGCCATGATATTGCTGGAGTTTTGCTTAAAGTGGCGTAAAACTAAACTTACTCAATCACACTCACAGAAACAATTTAATAATTTCAGGTACTTGGACATCATAAACATCATGTCCTACGACCTCCACGGCGCCTGGGACCCCGTCACTGGTCACAACAGCCCGCTCTACGATGACGGGTCTATCTTGAACGTGGTACGTCTTCAACTAGGCTAGAGGTTCAGTCTTTGTGTCGTATGTGTCAATACTTCTTAGCCGATCGTTAGAGCTACTAATCTTTGTGGTCTATCTTCATTTGTTTAAACTCAGTCCACAAATTGAATGGCATTGATTTCTGCGAGTAATGGCTGCAATATGGCTGAGATTGGATGAATGGTTGGTTTCCTTTTCCTTTCCTTTCGAGACAATAAAATCACGTTTCATTTTCACCAGAATTCTTACCATGCGATTATGTGACAAGACAACTTCTTTAGTGTAGTTTCCTCGGTTTTACCAACCAAGAATATGTGTGACAACCAAATTACACGTCTAAAACTCTAGAACTAGCAGGAATCTAACGAAGTGATTGTTTTATTTATTGGTATCATTGGGTGGGTGGGTGGTGAGGTTCTTGTGGGTTTTATGCTTTGCTTTTTGTCACTGTCGTTTGCTATATAGCTTAGTCAAAATACGGCGGTTTTCACAAAATATATTTAGTGGTTCCTTTGAGTTCATTTTACGTGGTTTACTGTACACAACCAGTGTTTTTATTTAACAGTAAAATTAATTACTCGTTTCCCTTTGGTTGAAACCTTAATCCAAATAGACCCTGTAAAAGGACTGACCTCAACTGTTTGACTTTTACAGAACTATACCGCAAATTATTGGAATCAAAAGGGTGCTCCGAAGTCAAAGATTGCCGTTGGCATGCCAATGTATGGGCGGTCCTTCACACTGGCAAACCCCCAAAACAACGGCATCGGGGCCCCTGTGACAGAAGGAGGGAGACCTGGGCCTATCTCAGGAGAGAGAGGCATTCTTCTCTTCTATGAGGTAGGATAATGACATGAAGTAATGGAACAACGATTGATCCTTCAGAGAGGATATTGTGAATATGTTTTATTTTTATTGTAGTTTTGAAGATTATCAGTGCTGTGACTCCTAGTCAGTGAGTGCATTTAGTTTTACGCCGCACTCAGCAATATTCCAGCTATATGGCGGCGGTCTGTAAATAATCGAGTCTGCACCAGACAATCCAGTGATCAACAGCATGAACATCGATCTACGCAACTGGGATACGATGCCATGTGTCAACCAAGTCAGCGAGTCTGACCACCCAATCCCGTTAGTCGCCTCTTACGACAAGCATGGGTTACTGAAGATCAATTCTAAGCCGAATCTTCACGGGTGACTCACTCGTAACTGTAACGACTTTGCACAAATATAACTGAACTCAAATTGTATCCATGTAGGGAATGATCAAATGTTATTCTTTGGTTTGACGAACGTAAACTTCTCCTACTGCGAAAATCCGAGTTCAGCAAGACATGCTTGCCGTAAGAGGCGACTACGGTCGCTGACGTTGTGGATGTCTGCCATCCTATTCAAGTTACGTAGACGAGATTATTTATAGGCCACGTTCATATGTCTGGAACACAGCTGACAGCGACGTTAAACAATAAACAAACAAAACCCTGTTTAACTGACATGATTTCAAAACAATCCATTCTTAATTCATATCACGATATAATATGTACCTGTATTAAGGTATGATGTCAAATACCTGTATATCTCGCAGCACTGATGGCTCGATAATATGCTCCTTAAAACGGACACCTGACTCGATCCATATTATTATAGTTATTTTCTCTACAAATTTGCATTTTGTATTTTATGAATGTACTTTTTAGTATTCTCCGCCCTTTAATTTAATATTGTTCATATAGGGACACTTTTATCTCGTTGGTCTTAATAACCACAAATTGCAATATACTGTTATATTATGCGCTTCCGTTGTATGCAATAAGTAATACTGAAGCAAATAATTATCTTCTTCTATAATCAATGAAGCCCGAGATTTTACTCTGAGATTTAAGTGATGGGTTATTCAATCATTTTCGAACAACTTTTGATAAAACGCCATTCCCTAGAGTGCGGATATTGAGTGAGTGAGTGAGTGAGTTTGGTTTTACGCCGCTTTTAGCAATATTCCAGCAATATCACGGCGGGGGACACCAGAAATGGGCTTAACACATTGTACCCATGTGGGGAATCGAACCCGGGTCTTCGGCGTGACGAGCGAACGCCTTAACCACTAGGCTACCCCACCGCCCCGAGCGGATATTGAACATAAACACAATGAGACAGTGTGAACATTACGTATACTCAGTTCATTACAAAAAGACGAGCACTGTCTTCATTTCTATGAAGATATGTTATCTATTCTGAGATAGTTGAAACATAATATAAAAATCACGATGCAGTGTTACGAAGACTATAGTCGTGTTGCCGCACCCCAGTGACAACCACACGCTGGTGACGTTACGTTACCGGCCGTACAGGGTCAGCGTGGGGTGTCACGATACATATATATTTGTACCTGTCTTACCTGTGTATGGGCGGATGCTTTACCTGACCTCCATGTTTATAGACACCTTTCCGTGTACCTGACGACACGTTGCTACATCAAAGGCGGACAGGTAGACGCTAGTTAGTAATCTCCTCGCGAGCATCACTGAATTCTGTCCCGAACAAGGGAGAAGAGGATTCCTTCTGTATCCCTACCTGATCATAGTTTAAGCGCACGTAGATACACTGCTTTGTGTTATTTAAAGCCTGTTGTTTTATGTTATATATGATAGTGTACCTGTTACTGCTCCCCCCCAAAAAAAAATCATCCTGGTATATTTTTTATTACATATTTACAATTTATTGAAAAAAATATATCTATTTGTTATCTGTTTAGGGGTTTGTTTTTTAATAAACCATGTTTCTTTTTAAAATTTTGTAGGTCGTACTTCATTAATATATCATGTAATTTATTCACCTTCTTTCACCTTCGTCTAGCAACACTCTTAGTTTGTTGCTCTTTGTCAATCTAAACCTCAGCCATGTAATTAGTGCCCCGGTCGAAATTGTTTTCCGGATATTCTCTTGTTGTTAGGTTAGCGTAAACATAATAGTTTGAGTAGCATATACTCATGCCAATAATGGTTGTCACCCCCTTAAATTTTTTCATTGGAGAGGGGGTGTGGGGTAGGTGTGTGGTGTTGGGGTGGGGAGGGGGTGACAACCATTATTGGCATGAGTATATATGGTGATGAGTCTGGTTCTCATTTAATAGCAAATATATTCAATAGGTAAGGTATTTGTCTATGGTTCTCCTTTTCCCTGTGTTTTCCTTTTCTTTTTTGCCCTGAATTTGCGTTTGTTTTCTCAAATTTCCACGATGTTATTATCATGTTAATACCATAGCACACTCAGCAAAAAACAATTCAAGTGAAATTTACTTCAGCTAAGTTTATTAAAGATTCGTTTTGTGAGTAGGTGATCTACGTTATAATATGTAAACCCCAAACTGGTGCAAAGCCTTTTAAACTTTACAGTTTCAGAAAATAGTGAGTGAGTGAGTTTAGTTTTACGCCGAACTCAGCAATATTCCAGCTACATGGCGGCGGTCTGTTAATAATCGAGTCTGGACCAGACAATCCAGGGATCAACAGCATGAGCATCTATCTGCGCAATTGGGAACCGATGACATGTGTCAACCCGATCCCGTTAGTCGCCTCTCACGACAAGCATGGGTTACTGAAGGTTCATTCTAACCCGGACCTTCACGGGTTTCAGAAAAGAAACAGCATATTTAGTGAAAAATCGGTCGTATAGTGTTTATATTGTATCTGCCTTGTTTATGTTTGTTGTTTTTCTTAACGCTGCACACAGCTTAGCAACTATTTGACGAAGGACTGTACATAATTGAGTCTGGACCAGACAATACAGTGATCAACAGCATGAGCAAAAGCATCGGCCTACGCAACTGGGACACTATGACATGTATCAACCAAGTCACCAAGTCTGACCACCCTATCCAGTTAGCCGCCTCTTACGAAAAGCATAGGTTGCTAAAGACCAATTCTAAGCCGGATAGTCACGATTCCTCTTGCTGTATGAGGCTGGAGATGCGAAATACACGTTTGCCAAAATAGATGGCCTGACATTTCATCATATTATTGTATATAGCAACGCCATTTAACGGCTGTGCTGAGTTAAATCACGAACCTGTCTTTTTCAGTGCATATTAAGGTGTGAATATATATCTATGATGTGTGTGTATTTATATATGAACAAACATACACAAGAAAGTACACACCTGGTATTTAAGGATTATTTATAAAAAAACAACCACGTAATTATTTTGAAAAGTGTCAACCATGTAGATAATGTGTGTGTATTTTACGTGTGTGTGTCGGTGTGTGTGTGTGTGTTGACATTCAGCCGCAGTAGTCTTCTGCAAGGAGAGGTACTAAGTCCACCATCATTATTCCAGCTGTGCTCTGGGGTACTGAACAGCTACACACTGAAGTATTCAGACGCCCTCCAGGTGCCGTACAGCTACAGCGGAGATCAATGGGTGGGATACGACGACAAGTCCAGCATCACAAATAAGGTAAAGGGAGATAACTCGGGTTGCGTTAAACGTAGTCTTCGCACACAGCCTTCCGTGAACATTGAAAAAACCAATGCCAGCAAAACACATTCAAATTCAGTTTAAGTAGAATATACTTCTACTGTCATTAGTTTAATTTGAAAATGGACATGTCAACGTTACATTGTAGTGAATGTTGCGTTACATTTTGAATATATAAAGGGTATGGGCACATGTTTATCACTATTCTAAGACCTACATGTATACCCCATTTTATTCAGATTCTCGACAGTCAACAGACAATTTTTCAGTGTACTAAATTGGAAGAATGTCAACATTCACTCTATTGCTTTTGTTTATAAAAACGTGTACCTCTTCGTATACACAACTTAATTAAAGATTTCTATTTTCTCGTTATCAATTTTATTTCAAATCAGTTGTAATGTGGGACATTTGGCCTTTGATAGTGGATACAAAATATGTCTGTCTGTTGATTTGTACAAATTCCATTTTTACATTGAAGTCACAAATGAACACACACAAACTCTGTATGAGTGTTTATTATCAATTTCAAATTACGACCTCAGTGATTTTGCTAAGCATTACTCGTCCGAACTTTACTTTTATTCAGACAATTTAAAAATAGAAACAAAATTTGTACCAGCTGAAATTTTGTTGCCATCTACACCCGCAGATAATGTTTCACTCATATTGGTGCACAACCCTGTGCACTTAAAGGAACCCACAAATCCGTTGGTAGTTTTCCCAGATGGTGGCCACATGAATACGTGCAAACATCTAGTTGCGGATACAGCAACGTGCAGTAAACTTGGACAAAGTACTGTGACTATGTATCCCAGTCCGCCCAGCTGTGAATGGGTGCCTCGAAAGGATGGGAGAGCCACAATAACTCGGTACGCCTAGTGGCTGCATGAGTTGTATGATCCCCAGGGAGTTGAGATTGATAATACGATGTGCCGTTGAGATTGAGCATGTACTAGTTACGTGGATATGTACGCTGTATAAACATCCTATCCTATCCTAATAGTTGTGAAGGATTTTGCTTTAACACTCCCTTGGATGCTGTATGTTTTCCTTGAAATGACCGGGGCGGTGGGGTAGCCGCCCGGAGAGCGGAAGGTTAGAGCGTTGGCGTCGTCAAAAGACGCCGAATGGTACTTGTTGGGGCCTTCGCTCCCCACATGGGCAACAATGTGTTAAGTCCCATTTCTGGTGTCCTTCCGCCGTGATATTGCTGGAATATTGCTATAAAACCAAAGCGGCGTACAAAACTACACAAACGCTCAGTCAGTCAGTCAGTCCTTGAAATGATAATTATAGTCTGTGCTCAGACCGATTAGTTACACGTGCATGACGTGTTTCAGATGAACTGGCTGATGCGACAGGGGTTCGGCGGCGGGATGGTGTGGGCTGTGGACCAGGATGACTTTTCGGGGGTATCGTGCGGTGAGAAATACCCCCTGATGAATGTAATCAAGAGCTGTCTTCTTGACAGAGACGGGTACGTTGGTTATGTTTGTAATACAAAGCGTCGCGGGTTCGATCCCAGGCCGCGTCATATCAAAAGATATATTATGGTACTTGTTGTTCCCTGCCTGCTGCTCGGCTTTAATGAGTACAACAAGGACTGGTCGGCTTGGAGTCAGTATAGAGTGTCTGAGTGAGGTATTCATGCTTAACTTCGGCATGGTATCTCAGTGAGCTAGCACTATGAAAAAAAAGAAGCACACATACACACGCATGTACATCGTCATATGATCGAACTATTCTTAAGTACGACGTTAAACCCCATTCACCTCGCCTACTTAATAAATTATAAACAAATAACCTATAACCATGACTATTTGGAAAATGTAAACATCACCATAACATGAAACCTGAACTATTCTCATGCATCATTATTTAGGTCAGCAGTAAACAAATCCTGTCGTATTGCTTATGGTCTCAGTGGGGCGGTGGGGTAGCCTAACGGTTAAATCGTTTGCTCGTCACGCCGAAGGCCCGGGTTCGAATCCCCACATGGGTACAATGTGTGAAGCCCATTTCTGGTGTCCCCCGCCGTGATGTTGCTGGAATATTGCTAAAAGCGACGTAAAACCATACTCAGTCAGTCAGTCATGGTCCAGTTGTCTAAATAAGCAAATCACAAGCGTATATCGGAAAACAATTATCTATATTTAGGACGGACGATGGGAAAATACCTTCTCCATTCCATGATATACAAGATTTGAGTGGACATACAATTCTATTATCATCATATTATCAATATTTATGATCATATTTGTACTTTGACAGTTGTAACGAGTTCAGTTAAAAGCGGACAAACTGACAAAATCGAGATCCATGCCCTAGCATGAGCTTAAAACATTATTGAGAAGCCAGATTCGTTAGACAAAAGATGTCATTATTTTCACAAGTGTATTCTGCTTAATGTCATTTATTCGCAGTTCAGAGCTGCTTTCTTGTCTCTCAGGATCTGGTGATCGTTGGCTCTAACCCAGTAGTCGCCCCGACTCGTGTTGTTTGGTTTACCTGTCATAGACATACTGCAGTATGACGTACATGCAGTTGAAATATTAAACGTAATCATTCCCACACAGACACATATACATACACAGTCTAACTCACTCACGTAAGCAACATTAGTTATCGACGTTACTATATTTCAGGTGGGGCGGTGGGGTAGCCTAGTGGTTGAAGCGAAGGCCCGGGTTCGATTCCCCACTTTGGTAAAATGTGTGAAGCCCATTTCTGGTGTCCTCCGCCGTAAAGCCAAAACGATGACCTTCCTCGGAAGCGACTTGTTTTGTAAATCAAGGATTAAGAGATGATGATGATGATGATAGTGATGATGAAGCGACTTGTTTTGTAAATCAAGGATTAAGAGATGATGATGATGATGATGATGATGATGATGATGATGATGATGATCCTTAACTTCTTACAGGACAACCTGTTCAGGAAATGTAGTCACAAGGCCTCCGGTGACAACACGGCCAACCACCCGTAGACCCACCACCCGTAGACCCACAACACGAAGACCCACCACAAGAAGACCTACGACCCGTAGACCCACCACCCGTAGACCCACAACACGAAGACCCACCACAAGAAGACCTACCACCCGTAGACCTACCACAAGAAGACCCACAACACGAAGACCCACCACAAGAAGACCTACCACCCGTAGACCCACCACCCGCAGACCAACCACACGAAGGCCAACTACCCGTAGACCCACCACACGAAGGCCAACTACCCGTCGACCGGATCCCCCTATCGGTGGTAAGTGTGGTATTTCTAGTGTGAAACAAACCCACATATATTCCTTGAATTCCCTCCCTCTACACAAGGAGGCCACCGATACCCACTCGTAAGAGTCGCAATTCGGCATGCAGATTTCGGTTCCTGAAACTTATAGTTCAAATCCGGTTCGCCCCGACTAAGATTCTAGGTTTGTCGGCATCTTATCCTTGAGAGTCAGTGTGGGAAATAGCCACTGGCTAACTAAATCCAGTCGGGCCAGTAAATCTACACAGCCATTGGCCCGACTGGCTAATTTCATGGGGTCATTTTGTAAATGCATCACACTTTTAAGTCATGCAAGATTATGGCCTGATAAACAATGGTCATCATATTAGCAGCTTAATGATGAAACCCGTGTCATGCCGACAATATCCTATTCTCATCTATTTTTGTAATATTTTGCTTAGTTTCTACATTCAAATTTCGGGCTAATGAAATATTTTGTGGGCTAGTAACTTTTAAACATAGCTTGACCGACTGGCTAGCAAAATTTGGAAACTATTTCGCACACTGCTTGAGAGTGTGGACCACACTCTGGCTGTAAACATTAGGTTTATACGGAGTACTGGACACCTGTCACCATGCCGGATGTTCGTGCCAATGACATGATGACGAAAAATAGTAAAACAATATATTTTGAGAAAATATTAATATTTTGGGATAAGATTTCAAAATTAAAATTATTTTTAAGCTTTATTGCCGACATGCAATAATTCTGTTGAAGCCAGGGCACCAAAGCACGTTTGGACATTCATGAAAATCCGGCTCAAGTTCCAAAACAAAAAGGTGTTGGACAATAGGTGACGTCACTAGGGTGCAGCTTAAGATCACAGAATATTCCTGACGTCTCAAGTTATAGACATCACCTACTGCTATGAGACAGAATAGAATTTGAATCTTGATTAAAACATCCTTCAATATCATTAATTCAGATCGTAGTTCTAGCTGCCAGTAAAGATCAGAGGACGTTGCAAGTCACGTGAGAACATTACGCAAACTCTGACCGACCACTGGAATCAAAAACAAGATGGCGACATAAGTCAGTCGGAAGGCAGCTACCTCGAGCAATACGGCCCTAGTTTCAAATAAGAAATTAAACTTCTTTCAAGACTACGCTTTGACATAAATTATGTCAAGGTTTTCGATTCCAAATGTGAAAACTCAAGAAAAGTGAGTACCGGATAAGTTCAAGGGCGGTGTGTAGCCTAGTGGTTAAAGCGTTCGTTCGCACGCCACGCCGAAGGCCCGGGTTCGATTACCCACATGGGTACAATGTGTGAAGCCCATTTCTGATGTCCCCGCCGTGATGTTGCTGGAATATTGCTAAAAGCGGTGTAAAACTAAACTCACTCACCCACTCACTCTTCAGATCAGGTATGTCGAGATCCGTGAAGATCCGGGTCAGAATTGATCTTCAGCAACTCATGCTTGTCAGAGGCGACTAACGGGATCGGGTGGTCAGACTCCCAGTGTTCTAAAAAAGTAATAAAAAGAACACATTGTCCCTTTAACAAACTGTTCTTGCCACTTTAAAAGGATAGAATTACTATACATCCAGGGATTTAGCATTCACTACAGCCTTGGAACAAGGCTAGGTGACTCTGAGCTTACCTGAAATAAATGTGTTTGTTTAAGTTGAACTGACAATCATTAGTTCTGAGTGGTGTTGTCTATTTCAGGAAACATCTGTGAGGGCGAAATCGTGGCCTGGGTGCCTGACCCCTTCGTGTGCACGTCCTACCACATCTGCGTATTCGGCATCGACTACCCCTTCGACTGTCCCCCCGGGACGGGCTATAACGCTACCGTGAGACTATGTGACTTCATTGGCCAGGTTTCAACGTGCAGATTTTAAACGAGTGGATCTCTTCGTTGGACACGGATTGCCATTTGTGTAAACATTGAAAAAACACATTGCCGCAAAGAAAGATCTGGTTTCACTGACTTACATAACTGAAGTTTTAGTGGCTGTATGCATTAACATATCTGATAGACTGATAAATCATTATTTCATTTTATAACATTTGTACCCCACGAACTTTTCGATGTTACAGTTTTTGAATAAAAATATTTTGAAAAAAGTGTTTTTTATTTCTGTGGAAACAGAAATCTGTGAAGTATATACTGAACAGGTTAACGTTTATCTGACTGTTTGGTGACTGTTGTATATTTCAAGTAGTTTGTATGTCATAAAGACATTTTGTGAGTTTCTGGACTTCAATAATTTGCATGAATGTGTTCATGTGACCAAGGTGGCTGAACAATTTCTAACTTGAACTAAAACCAATTTCACTAAATTATCTGTACCCATGTTGGTGACACATAGATTTGAGAGGAGATTAGATCAAACTGGCATGTATCAAATAAACTATCATGATACAGACCGTGTTTGATTTTACGCTGCATTCACCAAATATTTCAGTTAAATCTTATAAAGTCAGTCCCAAGTGAGGAAAACAAAGCGACAAATCGTTAACGTTCACCGTGTTCATGAAACCCACGGGCTTGGTTATTGTGGTGGCAAACCAAGGCTCATAATCCAATTAATTCTGGGATTCGAACAAAGGACTAGTGGGCCAAGGCAGTTTAGCATCTTGAACCACATGGCCTCTAAACCATTAAAACAATCTATAGGTCCTGTGTACATAAATCCCGATGCCTTGCATCAGACAACAAAACACCCATAAGAGGCACGGGATAAAATACAATATGAGGTGCACACGTTCAAAGCAGGCAGTTTTGTATGTATTTCAATGAACATGGGCATTCGTCAGGATTAACAAGGACGAAACAGCGAACTCTGACAGATCAACTATAAATATATCACAGTAAGAAAGAAGCACGTCAGATTTTTACAATGAACGTTTCAGGATTGACATAGAACGTGCATTATACATAAATGCATTTTTTCGTTATCTGTCACACTTCCTGCAAATACATATAAAAAAATATACATGTATACTTCCTTTCAAAAGTTTAGACTCACTGAAAACACTCACTATATAAGCATGTGCAAATATCGTGCTTGTGAACAGCTGCGTTTTGGTGTAAAATTTGTTAAGAATTCACCAATTTTCACTGATTTGTATCATTTATTGAACTCATGACAATAATCTTTTCAACGTTACGAATTTGTTTTACAATACATTAGTTCATGTGTGAACAGTACCTCTAAACAGTATGGAATATTTTGCCAAAATTAGTTTAGAACATTTGCCTGAAGTAAGTGGCTATATTTACACTAGTAAGTCTAAACTTTTGAAAGTCAGTATATAATAAAGTATTGGTAGAAGAATGTGCTCAGTTCAGATCAACGGTTAAATATGTTTGTTAGTCGATGAAATTCATTGATCGTTTTTCGTAACAAATTTATTGCATGTTTATACGCAAAATGCTTTTGAAGAGCAGCTTCTGGCCTGGAAACGAATGCAACTTGAAAATATATTTTATACTGATGGTGCATTTTTGTTTCTCGAATGGTGACAACGGCAGGTGTGATTGAAATATGCTTGTAATGTAGACCTGGTGTCGTTGTATAAAATATATACAAGCATCAACATAAATATCCTGTTGTTATTATGATTTTTTAAAGGTCAACATATAGGTTTTATGATACTGTTATCTCCGTATCGTCAAGGATTGACGTTGAAATAACATCACCATCCGCATGTTCAAATATTCTCCGCTTACAGCGGCAAAGGGAAAACACGCCACCCTGTTCTCCCTTTGTTGTGAAATAGACTCGTCCCAAGGGGCCGTATAACACCTGATACAGCCTAATGTGGAATGTTTTTTATATGCGTTGAATTGCGTAATTCAAATAAGCCGTCCCATGGCTTTGATGGGAAAACGAATTCGAGATAAAGAAGCATTAAGGCAAAGATAGGGCACCTGGTTTGTAACAATACCGTGTTGAGTATTAAGCAATTAGAAGAGACAATGCACAACTCGTGTCCAGGTCTACGGGGTGGGATTGGGGTTCAAGGGTCGTCGGGAATTGAAGCATGGATTGGGGGTGGTTGCATTTATAAAACAGAAACCTAAAGACAGAATTCATGATTACAGGAATAATGACGCTAAAATCACACAGTGTCGAACAGTTGATTATCGTAGTGAATGAAGCTTTAACTGTTGCAAAAAAAATCTGTTACACAGCGAAATGAGAGGCAAATATATTAGCGGGATTCAAAGTTCAGTAATACACATCGTTATTATTTTTTGTAGTAAATATATACAACACAATGAACATCGTTCTGGGTTTGTTTTTGTTTTGTTGTTGCTTTATTTTGAGGGTTTTTTTGTGTTTGTTTTTTATATATACAAAAGTCATCATTAATGAAAATATTTCATATCTTTAGCATACTTACAACGTGACCCGAATATCACTATTATTTAACATCCGGTGGAACGAGTCAGATAAAATCGCCTTTCAAACACATAATACGCCCCCTGTATAACACTAGATGCCTCCCCGATATTGCACTTATTTCCTCCATATAGAAACAGAATTTACTGTCAGTTTCTTTCTCCAAACGAGCTGTTGTACGTTCTCATATACCTATATAGAATAAACACGTAAAATATGAAAGAAACGCACCTGTCATCCACCCTACATGTGTTACAATCGGTATACTTTCTCATATACCCATATAGAATATCCATGTAAAAATATGAAAGAAATGAACATTTAATCCACCTCACATGTGTTACAATCGGTATACTTTCTCATATACCCATATAGAATATTCATGTAAAAATATGAAAGAAATGCACCTGAAATCCACCTCACATGTGTTACAATCGGTATACTTTCTCATATACCCATATAGAATATCCCTGTAAAATATGAAAGAAACGCACCTGCCTTCATCCCACGTGTTACAATCGGTGTACACGTTCTCATATACCCATATAGAATATTCATGTAAAATATGAAAGAAATGCACCTGTCATCCACCCCACATGTGTTATGTCACGATATGGCTGAAATATTGCCGATGTGACTTTAAATCTTAACTCACTCACATGTGTTACAATCGTCATACTTTCTCATATACCCATATAGAATATCCATGTAAAACATTTTGTGTGGATATTTCATGTTTAAGTGCGTGTGACCCTTTAATCACCATCACACAAGGTCGTAAACTTCAAGTGTTGATCACATTAATACAGAGAACATACGCAAACACTTTAATCAACAACAATACAACACTTTAATCAACAACAATACAACACTTTAATCAACAACAATACAACACTTTAATCAGCTACTATACAACACTTTAATCAACAATAATACAACACTTTAATCAACAATAATACAACAATAATACAACACTTTAATCAACAATAATACAACACTTTAATCAACAACAATACAACACTTTAATCAGCTACTATACAACAAGAACAACCTAATGTCAGTATCAGAACATAGGTACACGAATCTTTTGTCGTGGCTGGAAATAAAACCATTCTTAAAGACATCAGTGCTTACGCAAAATACACAGAGTTGCTCAACATAGTACTATTAAACTGACCCCAGGCAAAATGGACGATCATTCACGCCTGAAAATTACTGCACTACTACTTTGCCTGTAACCCACTATGGATATGGTTTTGGTGGTCAAGACTTATTATTCTGTGGCGTTACAGTTGTAAATATTAGAATCGCTTGCTACTTTTGACATGTATTGTAAGACATATCGTATGTACATGTCCCGGAATACTAAAAACACATAATCAAAGTATCACTTTACACATACGCTAACATTTACAAACACTGAATTCGTCACGATATGGCTGAGATATTGCCGATGTGACGTTAAATATTAACTCACTCACTACAAACACTGAAGATGTCATACAGACGAACATGAACTACAGGTAATTTATATAAAGACAAAAACGGAGCAAAGCAATAAATGGTGATGTATTCCATGGCGATGCATACTGAGCAAAACACTTAGGGATAATTAATATTCTGGGGATTTGTGGAAAGAGTTTTGTCGCTTCTATTTCATTTTTTAAACCAAGACTTAGCAAATAATTTCATAAAAACATGACCCAAAATATCGTTGATCCCTGGCATGTTTAATATATTTGATCATTATATATATTTGATTTAAGAGCATCATTACTGTGTTTTGTCTTCTAATATTTGTGGGTACAATGTGTGAAGCTCATTTCTGGCGTCCCCGCCGTGATATTGCTGGAATATTGCCAAAAGCGGCGTAAAACCAAACTCACTCACTCACTCTAACATTTGTTTCTAAGATGTTGCTAACACAATCGCGTTTTCATAACGTTTCTAATTTGTCTGTTAAAATGCAGTTTTTCAATTTATTTTGTTTAGCCATGCTGTATATGTCAATCCTTTACCTGTTTCACAGTTTAACGATGGTGGAATAGATATGGTATATTACATAATATATACTGAAATTTACTATCCATGTAGTCCGGTGATATTTCAGTGTATATTGACATGTGTTCCCGGCAACGCCTGCGTGGTGATTGATTGCAATGAACACCGATAGGCAATATTTGACCACGTCCAGTAGACATATCTGATTATACCCTGGAATTGACGCTTTAAATAAGTGTTCGTGTGGAACACTGTGCGAGATGGATCCTACTGTCATGGTAACAACCTATGAATCTGAACATGGCACATGGCACCAATCTTATACCCAGGTATGGAAAGATGTTTGTTGTGGGGTGAAGAGTGCGCAATCCCTTACAAAAGGACATGGTAAAATAACACAGTGCCTTAAGAAATATAAGACAATCCCGCGATCGTGGCTCTCAAGCACCATCATGTGCTTGTTTGGAAGCACATAACTGAACCAATGTTTGATTAGGTTTTACTGGTAATAATGGGTTCTACAAAGACTATAATGTTTTTCTCAAATTAACTGTCATGGAAATTTATTATTCAGATCAATGTACTTTGAATACGTTATAGTAAAGTGACTAGATGTTGCTATACAGAAAAGTGATAATAAACAGACAAGAAGGCGTCGTTTCTCTGTGTGCATTCAAGGCAAGATACCAAAGTCTCCGGTCAAATGTTTTTGTTTTCATACATAGACACATCTATTGTTAGTTTTCGTTCATTTTTAAATTCACACATATACATTTTTGTTTGAGTATTATCAAAAGCAAACTGGTAGTACATTGGCGATTATTGGGTGTGCAAAGAAAAGTTCCAACTTCATATAATTAAATGTTGGATAAAGAAGGTAATAGGCAACGACAGAACCTAAACATAACACTTCCAGTGAAGACGGACACCTTATATTCAGCAGGTATATAGTATGACAATATTGTACAAAAATGTGATCGGTGGGGTAACTGAAAATATGTCTCATGGAAACTAAGGTATACCGAATTTGGGCTTGTCATGCCTTGCATTGAAAAGTAAAATTAATCTTTCTATAACTGCAAAGTACACTTTTTTAACATTATTTTAAAGTTGATCGAAATTATATGTATTAACCAATATATTTATTTTCAAGGAAATGATTTTAATATCAAATTTATTCATGAATTCATTGTTTTCAGTACAATAATAAAATAATATTCTTCTCCTTGCTCCACACTATCGGTGAATCGCGATTAATATAGTGCCAGGATATGAATATCGTATAAAGGATGGTCGTGTAGCGATGTTCTATAGTATGACTCGATGCATTCAACAAATGAGTAATCTATGGATTACTTTGGGTGTTTTTCTGTTTCGTGGGTCTTAACCTGGACTCGCTACATTAATAGATTTATAGACACGCTATCTTTATAGCTGACTCAATGTTTTTGTCATTGATATTGTAAGGAACCAAGTCATTCACATTTTATTTGCCTTTGGATAACCACACCTGTATTGACACCTGTGTGGCGTGCAGGTGCTAAAACCATTATCATAGGCGTGAAAACGTTAGAACAGAATAAATAAAGAATTTGTGAGCTACAATACAAAATGAATATTATTATCTCACCCAGAGTCTACTATGTTTCCCATTTTTGTGGAATATTACTATTTACGTGCCAACAGTTAAGTGTTTCTGTAGTGCAGAACATCTTCTTGAGGCTATTTCATGCTTTTTCTAAACGTATCTCTACAGTTCTGAATCATAAATGTTCACTCAACAATACAGAAAATTCATGACATCACCACGTTAAATGACAGGTGCTCCGAAAAAAACTGACAAGAGCCCTAACGAACATTTGTATTAATGTGCACATTTTAGTCCTTGGGAAACCTATTCTGTCAACAATTAAGCACGTTTCACGCAATATACACAGTTTGCACAAATCCCAAGAAACACCGATGGCTGAGCACGCACGCAAATTGCCGGGAATAGAAAGTTTATCATCGGAAATAGGTACTGAACTAAAAGCTACGAACATTATCTACACGTTACAAGGTTGGAAACACTAGCCGAGATATTGCAAGCTTCAGGTGCCAAATACAACTGTGGTACATGTGCCGAATACATTTGAATATAATTATGTTTCAAAATATCTCATCTCATTTCAATATAGCCACGCCTTGTAGTTTTCATTTTCTGCCACCATCAAATATGGGCGTTAAGTTTCATTTGCCCGAGAGTTTACAATTCGATTCCAAAAGATCATGTATTATATAAATTGATAAAACTATGTATAGTAAAATTAATTAAAAATAGTAGTTTTAGAAATTAAGTCACACCTCAATCGCAATTAATGAGGGCACAGAGAAAGTGATATAACCAGTTTTGTATATTTTGTTCCTATACGATGTTGTAGTCGGCTACGTCAGAGGCATCTGTCTCCAGCGCATGCGCACCGTCACGTATGTATTATTTCCGAGGAGCTGTTATAAATCGCCGTTGCTGCGCAAAACACAATTATTTTAAATTTCTTGTGCTACATTTTTGTTAGGGTTCTAATTGAATTGAAGTTTTAATTGAACAGTGATGATGCCACATCGTATTTCAGAATACATTAGTGAAGTCATCGGTATATTATAGTAAACCAATATTTGATTTATTCGCCCATTAAAGATGTATTATTCCTTTAAGCAAATATTTTATTACAAAAAAATCACTTGAACTAGATGTTCCTGTTTCAAACTGATGAAACCCTATTTTTACTATCGTATTAAATAAGTCAAGCTTTTAGAATCACTGCAAGTACTGTCCAAGTGTCCACTGCACATTGACGCACTGCAAAAACTAACAACGATACCGGCACCACGCACGTACACCTCCCTAATATAGACACATTTACGAAACTGTTGATTATTAATGCATAAATGCAGTGAGAATTAAACCGAAACGAAAGCGGAAAAATAGAGGAATGTTTTTAACAAAACTGAGCAAATTTTCTATACTCCTTTTGGGATAATATTCCTAATATCCCTCAGACAGAACTATGAATGTCTGATTGACAGAAATATTAATGGTTGTGTGCATTCCCACTCCTGTTGCTACATGAACGGAACACCCTCAAGTTGTCTCATCACTATAATTTAAAGAAATACTGTAAACATGTGGTGGTATATGAGCTTTTCCCCTTCACGGTTACCATAATCACCAATAATTTAGTTTTGCTCAGTAACAAGAAAAAATGAAGTTCAACATACATAAGAGAAGGTTTACAGAAAAAGGGTTTCTTTCCTGTGTTTGCCTTCTCCTGTACGTTCATGGTAAGGTTCAATACGATAAGCTGCTGTCTCATCAGAGATGACATGTGGAGCGCGTTCTTCACTTCTGTTTATAGACAGTGCTAAACCTGGATGCTGCACCAGCGATAAACAGAAATACCTCCTTTCTTGACAGCATGTTAAACAGCTTTCATGAATTTCCCCAGTTCCATTTTCAGATAGGTTCACATTTGTAAATCTATAAAATATAGATATGTGACACGTAAATGATAGTATTCGTGCTTTGCACACGAGTCATCTAATAATGCAATATATGAATGTGAAACTGTTGTTAACGGTATCCAATTACAATGAGATAAATATTGTGAATATTACATCAATCATATCATAGACTAAACCATCGTGATGTATTTACCGAGAGACAAAAGTAGTTTTGATCATGTTCCTGTTTAATCATATCATAGACTAAAACTATCGTGATGAATTTACTGAAAGGCAAAAGTCATGGTGATAACGTTCCTGTTTAGTCATATCAGAATTTTTCAGGATCATGTAGCTGAAAACTCCCTTTTACACATCCAGTAATGTGTATTGGTGATTGTTAACCAAATACCAGAATATTTCTGAAGTTTCGTTTTTTCAAATTTCTCAGTACGGTTTTGCGTTTATACAGACGTTTGGTGATGTGTTATTTCCTATCCAGTAAAATATGTTTAACTGTAAGAGATAACAAAACCTCGAGGAAGACTTTCTTTTGACTGAGAATGCAATACATGTAACGCTAGCTGGGGTTTAGTTTACTCTGTACATAGAAGATTGATCAATCTGTTGAGCAATATAGTCCATATCATCATTCATATTCTTAAACACTTTCAATTTCCAATATACACGACCATACACAGTTACCTTCCTTTGATAATAAACAGGAGCAATATCTGCCTGTGCTGCAATGAGAAATAATGGCACCGAAACAAGTCTTGAATCATAGCTGTTGCATTTTATACAATTTATGTATTAATTTCTCAGGTAAATAAAACATTTAAAAATGCCACATGAACACGTACCCTGCATATAAATATTGACGCCAGCGTGATACTAAAATCGAATCGAACAGACCACACACGTATCTGCTTCATGAGATCTGGCGACGAATGAATACAGTGCATGTATTTTTTAAACAAAATGTTCATAATTAATTACATTGAAAATTTAAGCATACATATCGCACGCTACAAAAGCAGGATTAACGCAAAACTGTACGAAAACTCGTACATCGAAAATAACCGACAACATACACACGCCAAATGTTTTCATGAAAAATATCCTTGCACCTAAAAAAGCATAAACATAACCCACTTTGACAACACCTTTCACAAACGCAGTATATTATTTCCGTATTGTCATTAATTTGAATGACCCGTTGATATTCGGACATTTTTTGTAAACCTTTGACTCTGGAAATTTTCCACAACGCACTAATGCGTTATTTTAATTATATCTTTCAATAAAACCCATAAACCCACAATACGGTATTTTCTATCAGTAGGATAATGAAAAGGGAAGACGATCATATAAACACCCCCGCCCTTCACCCCCACTCTTAGCCGCGAGAGGGGCAAGAAACCCCGTCTTTCCCCTAACCCGTCTCACTGCCTGCCTCGCGCAGTGGAAAATGATAGTCATGACGTCACGCGCGGAGCATTATGGGATGGAGAATGAGCTGGGCCGAGATAAACTGAGCGTCGTCAACAAAGGTCGCGTTTCACATTGTTCGGCTCGCACATTATGGAACTATCGAACATGGGGGAACGAGTTTTTGCTGCCGAGTGCATCACAAAAAAGAGGATACGTCGGGTAGGTGGCTATGTATCCCAGTTTCCTTGCGCGAGTCGATTTAGCGAAGGCACCCTCCATGATAGTGTCTAATCGTCCTCGTGTTTTGATTTCAGGGAAGGACTGAGTACTTCGTCAAATGGAAAGGCTGGTCTGTTAAGTAAGTAGCTATCACCTATTTTCGTGGGGTACTGGGTTCGTTGTTGCTTGTGCACACGGGCTCAACGCTGTTCTTTGTTATGTTGCAGACACAATACATGGGAGCCAGCTGAAAACATTCTAGATCTGCGTTTAATCGAAGCTTTCAAAAATAGGTAGGTTGATTTTGTGAGATTATAATGGCCGTTCTGAATATTCAAGTCGCGCTGTCGTATTGCTCTGGCGAGTAATTTGTTCACCTGATAATGTTTGTAATTTGATCCGCTTTGTGATTGTCTACAGTCAGAGGGACAACCCGCCGACTGGCTTAAAACGGGGACCAAAACCAAAGAAACAGAAATTGCAGGTAAATATTGTAGAATATTTGAATTGTTTGGTTTTTTTCAACTTTCACATTTGAAATTTCAATGTTGTTGAAGCTAAGATTAAACAATTCAGGGGTCGTGACATTTGTTGCATATTTTAGAAATTCCACAGAAATGATTGTTGATGCATATTATATGCGCGAACGTTCACTTGCGTAACGTAAATGTTCAGTCTTGTTTACGGATGTGTAGGAGTACATGATTATATATATATATATATATGTGTGTGTGTGTGTGTGTGTAGATATGTATATATATAAATATATATTGATATATAGATATAGATATATAAATATAGACAGATTATATATATATATGTGTGTGTGTATGTATGTATAGATGTGTATATATATATATATATATATATATAAATATAGACAGATTATATAGATATATGTACAGATATATATTGTTTGTTGTGTATATATTAAGACACTTAACTCAATAGTTCTTGTTATTTTTAAGGTTTGTGTTTACAAGCTCAGTATTAAAATTTTGTTGAGTGGTTTCAGCAACGCTCTTTTCTACTTCTATCACACTGACGTTCATAGTATTTTTTCATATTTCCACAAATATGTCATTCATTTGTTTCCCTTTTAATATATTTGTAACTTGAGATACACAAATAATGTACAAATTAACTTTCGTGATGGGAATACGACTTTACAGTTTCCTATAAACAATGTTTATGTGTTGCAATTTGTGCGTGTTGTATTTAGATATATTTACACGACAAGTGTTAATGAAATTATTAAACTCGTTCAGGTTTTTGCCTAACGTAAAGGTCAAACAATTAATATGTCAAACGTATGCAGCTTGCATGAGAGAGTGCTTTAATTGGGTTTATATATATGCTACATCCGCTATCACACCCAAACCCTCGCCCCATCGACGCTACATATGGCTGAATGGATGCCCTCTGTTTAAACTTTAACTAACCCCTCACAAAACAACTCCCCAGTACATACTACTCAATGTGGCATTGTCGCGTTGTGGTATTTACATTGACGTATTCACATTGACGTTGTGGGTGAATATTACTCAATATCACACCCGGAATTTTCACGTTGACTTAGGGAATGATTGTTGTGTACTTTTATAAGCCCGTAGAACCTGCTAACTGTTACCGTGACAACTGTAGTTCGTTTATTTTCATATTATTTGAAGCGGCCTTTACAAAACACGCTTTTTCATTCAGTCATCTGCGCCGTACGCCTATTAATGTCCGTTGTCCTTGCAATCCTTGGTTCAGAACTAGATTTCATGTGTGTGAATACTACTCTCTGTCGTAAACATAAACGATATGTCAGTTATGACTTAATGCATAGCCATGTGTCACAATGTTTAATCATTAGCGTTTGTTTAAAAACAAGCGATATGAGCAAGAAAGGTGTTTTATATATGTATTAAGTTTTGAACGTATCTTATTCTGACAGTAACCCATTACAAACAACGCAATTGTGACAAACGAGAAAACCCGAGCACTTAAATTAATGTGAAAAGTCCAATTGTGTTTGAAACGAATTTGTGTTTTGTGATGACGAAATTAATATCCGCTTTAAATCATGCTGGGGCAAATATGTACAGCGCCTATTGGTATTACAACGGCTGGACGAGATTAACATTGTATAAACTGTCAAACTGAAGTTACATGTATATACCTAAGCACATGCATATAAAGAAGTCATAATTAAGGAAATTATCTGGTTGCAATAAATTACTCCCATAGCCGACAACCGATTGTGTTGTGTAGCAGTTTCTAGACAGGTGTTGCCCGTAAGCCAATACAATGGAATAATGAGGTATATTCATCACCCAATACGTGTTACTTAACGGGGATATTACCTTATATAACCATTCTTATAATGACGCAACTGTCTAGGATTTTTCAGTTACTGTCGACGACAAAGTGGTTCCGTTATTCTGTCCACTGCTTAGTGTCTTCTTGGAGCATACCTATTTATCCCAGTTGCGTAGTTCAATGCTCATGATGTCAATCTCTGCCACATTGGGAATAATGTCGAGTACGGTGTTAGACATGCAGCAAATAAAAGACCCAATTAACAGGGCTTGTAACGTTCGATATGAGTATGTGAGTTAACAGTAACGCGACATTGTTTCGTTGGATGCGACATTCAGTGCCTCGATACGATTATCATATGTACAGAATACGCGTATCAGAATACAATGTATTCATACAATCGATAACAAGAAATTTAAGAGAGTTTATGGATGACAACTTCTTTATTAGTTTATGATGCAACGTTTCGGTATGGGTTCTTTTACCGTTGTCAAGTAAGAGTTCTTATACCGATACTCTGGTTTGACAACGGTACAAGGACCTATACCAGACGTCGCATCATATTATGATAAAGAAGTTGTCATCTATGAAGTATCATACCTTTCTTATTATTCATCAACTTCTAAAATGCCAATCAAACAGACCAAAACGATAACATGTACTTGTATGCGAGCTGTGTACAGGACGGGAAATGCCGTTTTCGTGAACACCCGGTGTCGTCACTGATTGTCAATCATCCAGTCAATTATTTTTCACCACATTGTCTTGGCCTTGTGCGTCCCGTGGAATATGTTTGGTGTTGCCTTATCATCTTAGTATATGCCCTTGTGTACCGAGATTATTTAACGGTTTTAATGAAACTGGGGGTATGCTCATGATGTCAATCTCTGCCACATTTGGAAAAATGTCGAGTTCGGTGTTAGACATCCAGCAAATAAAAGACCCAATCAACAGGGCTTGTAACGTTCGATAAGAGTTTAGGAGTTAACAGTAACACGACATTGTTTCGTTGGATGCGACATGCCCTTGTGTACCGAGATTATTTTACGGTTTTAATGAAACAGTGGGTATCATGGCATGAGGTTTGGATTCCTTCCTGAATAAGTTACTGCAAGGTTTACCCGGTGCCAGCGATTTCCCAGAATTCAGCAATACCTCGATCGCAGTAAGATTTTCCAAAAATGTCACTTGATGCACAATTGCGACATTCGCGTAAATTGCCTTTGTTTGTCAAAGGATGCTAATTTGTTGGTATTATTGTCAAGCTTTTCTATCAAATATGACCCTTAAACTGTTGGAAGGATCAGACGAGTGTAGAATGTATCTTAGTCTTGTATATACAGGGTCCCACAAGCAACTGTTTTATTATTGTAAATGTTTATTTTTGTAAATGTGTTATTGTAAATGTGTTCAATTTCGACTACTATTAAGACCATAGAAATATTTCTATATCGACACACGTATCATATCGCAATGAGATTATCGTTACAGCCCTACAAGGACCATTATTATCTCCGGGGCTTTCAGATCAAACTGATACATGTGGTGGAATGAGCTACAAATAAATTCAGTTATTTAAAAATTTAGTCTTTGATTTTAAATCGTCTTGTTACCGATTAGAAACTTAAAATTTCTTAGAATAAGGAAACAATTCATTCGAATGAGAAAAATCGAATAGAAAGAGTATTGAAACCTTATTAAGACGAAATAGAGTCTGTAATCCCATGTATAACGAGTTTAAGTTACGGTTTTATTGAAACTGTGGATATCATGTCATGAGGTTTGGATTCCTTCCTGAATTAAATTATTGCAATGTCTAACCGGTGCCAGCGATTTCCCAGAATTCAGCGATACCTCGATTTTCATAAAATGTCACTTGCTGCAGAATTCCGACATCGCTGAATTTGCCTTTGTGTGCCAATCAGGATACAAATTTGTTCATATTAATTTCAAGCTTTTCAGTCGAATATTGCACTCTAATGATGACCAACTATTTCGCATGGAATGCAAACGTACACACAATGAATCCTACACTATAACGAAACCAGATTAGATCATTCTGAATTTTAAACATTCTTGTAGTATTTTGACTGCCTCACTGACATGTAACCATATATAAGTATCATTTACTCCATACGAGAAATTATTTTTTTAAAGTGAAAAATTGAGTTTGTATCACACTTTTAAGAAGAAAATGATTGTTTTGACAACAGAATTGTGTACTTTTACCGTATTATTCGTCTGGAACTGTTGAACGAGATCTTTTTGTAGCACTTGCCAACTACCCTACGTGGGTTGTGTTTGTCATGTCATCGTGATCACAATAACATATAATCATAGTACATAGGTGTAGTAATGGCGGAATTCTATTGCAATACTTTGATTTAAATACACCCGTGGAGATCCGGGTTAGAATTGGTCTTCAGCAACCCATGCTTGTGGTAAGAAGCAACTAACGGGATCGGGTGGTAAGACTCGCTGACGTGGTTGACACATGTCATCGTATCCAACTTGCGTAGATCAATGCTCATGCTGTTGGTCACTGGATTGTCTGGTCCAGACTCAATTATTTACAGACCGCCGCCATATAGCTGGAGGGTGCACTATAGGGAGCCGTGTTATTAAAGGGTTAGCTTGCCATGACCAAGCCCGGTTTCGAGTCCTCATATATACGTGATATATGAATAATTCTACACGCGGCGTAAAGGCGTACTTATTCACTATTGGAGGCGCAGTCTGTGTGAAATCCTCACGGGAACTGTAAACAGTTGTGCCCGTATCCACACAATGTGGCTTGTCGTGAGATACCAGATCACGACTCGGGAATAACAGACTGACATGAAACAAGGCTGTGTATGAAATATGTATTTGTCATCTGATAAATTATTAGGGAGACGAGCAGGAATGTGGATAATTTGAGAAACGATATTATTTTAGGATCAATACGTGTAGGTAATAAAACATTTCATTACTCCTTGAACAGATAAGGTTACATACATTTATGGAGTGAAAAGCCATCCACAACTTAAATTATCTAGGACTGATTGACTGAGTTTGGTTTTACGCCGCTTTTAGCAATATTCCAGCAACATCACGGCGGGGGACACCAGAAATGCGCTTCACACATTGTACCCACGTGGGGATTCGAACCCAGATCTTCGGCGTGACGAGCCAACGCTTTATCCACTAGGCTACCCCACAGCCCCCAAATTATCTAGGAAAAGATTAGAGCCGAATTGACTTGGAACACATTTAAACTTGCGAACATGAGAAAGGAATACGGGTGTATAGACTAATTCGGTTTCTTAATATTGCTAAAGTACTTGAAAGTATTTAAACAGTGCTGATCCCCTGCTTTATATGTCTCCCATTGTCAACCACACAAGTAGCTTAATGGTTAAAGCGTACGCTCGTCACCCTAGAAAACCGGGTTCAATTCCTCACATGGATAGAATGTGTGAAGCCCATTTCTGGTGTCCCCACCGTGATATTGCTGGAATATTGCTGAAAGCGGCATAAACCTATTATTTCCAGATCAAGGCACTGACCAGTGTATCTACCGTGCTGTAAGATGTTGTATTTATTTATTTATTTATTTATTTATTTCCAGACTGTTTCTGATGACAGCGACGACGACAGCGACACAGAATCTGAGACGAGTGTGCGACGACGTCGCGACAGAGACTCGAACATGGACGACGACTCCAGCTGCAGCAGCATGGAAGTCCTCTCCAACATTCGCGCCAAGGAAATAGCCAAGTCGGAAAAAGTCGACAGAAACGAAGACGACAGGAAAGACAAAAGTGACCCGCGAGCTGGACCCTCCACAAGTGGCCACTCACTCCCACCCCCAGTCCCTGTCAAGAGAGGTCCAGGGAGGCCTCCCAAATACCCCCGACCCCCGGGCTGGGTGCCGCCAAAAGCTAAACCCAAACATAAATTGAAAGGCGCGCCGGGTAGACGCAAACCTCAAATCGTCGTCCCGGGGAAACGAAAAGTTGGACGCCCACCGTCTGCTAAACGGTTGAAACAGCAACAGTATGCATTAAAACTAGCCGAAGAGGCCAAGCTTAAAGAGAAAGAAAATGTTTCGGGCGATACTGGAATAAGAAACGGACACGGTAATAGCAAACCCAACGGAGATGCAAAAAAGATTTCCGATCCGTCAATCTATAATTTCTCCGATGTCAACTCGAATCTTCAGACCCCAGCCGAGTCAGTGAAAGTGAAAGAGAAAGCTGTGGAAACGAAAAGCTATTGGAGCCCACCGTCAAGTATCAAACCAATTCTGGATCAAGTTTGTATCACAGACGTATCATTGCGTGATTCCATAACGATAACTGTGAGAGAGTGCACATCCGATTCCGGTTTCTTCCGGAAGCGCGAGGACAATGAATGAGTGCATATTCAGAAATGGATTACTATTATTATGCGTTGAATGTGTGACTTACAAACCTCATATCATGCAAATGATCACAGCTGTGATCATTGCCGCTTCTATACTTGTGTCGCCGAGTAGATTTGTGCGCCGTCATGTCACCTTTCGTTGACGTCATGGGAGGGTGTTTTTAATTGTTGCTCTGGATATGTCACGTGTTTGATGGCGATCACGTGATTGAATGAAAGCGATTCTGAACTGGGACATGTGTCGGCCTTCGTTGTATCCAAGAAATGTGCATTATTAGAAGGGTCGAAGTGTGCTCAGCATGACAGGTTATATTTCGTTCTCAGCCGATAAATCTAATACTGATATGATGTGTCAACTTGTCATAAATGATGCATATTTTGATATTGATATTTCGTTACTTGCGTGTAGTAGAGAGAGCAGTAAACTCATTTTAGAAGAACGTGATTTAGTCACAATGCGTAGTCAATTCGTAGTCAATCATTTAAAAGTATTTATCTCTGACACAGGAAAAATAATATCATCAGTTACGAAGGAGCATCAAACAAATGTTTGGGTTTTTTTGCATTACGTCATAAGTTGATAACATTAAAAACTTGGATTCACGTTTTCAAATGGAAACTGAAATGACAAGACGGTAGTGATATTGACATGCGATCGGCGGTAGTGAGAGAGTGAGCTGTGAGAGAGACTGATATGCAACGTGGTGAAATGTATATGTTATGTACAAGATATATATGTTGTAGTGGGACCATGCGCGGTGTCTCCTAATTATACACATCCCATGTTAGAACATTTTGTGTAAGTGAATGCTGCGTATTTTCCGCTAATTAAATTTAATGCTGTCTTCGTTTTTTTTCTGTTGTGATGTTTTTATTAAAAAAATCGAAAAGCATTAGGACAATGAAATGGATGAATCTATTTTGGTATTTTTATAACCAGATTGAGTTTTTAGATGCTTCTTTAACAATTAGAAATACCACATCTGATTAACACGAGTTAAAATGGTCAAGAGCAGATTATCTAAAATATATCGTCGATGTGTGTCCGGGCGGGGAAAAATAATCTATGCATGTATTATGAGGTTGGTGATAACGCTGAAACAGCGCGACTTCAGAGTACGTTTCAGAAACTCTGTATGAGTGTTTATTATCAATTTCAAATTACAAGGGGCGGTGGGGTAGCCTAGTGGTTAAAGCTTTCGCTCGTCACCCCGAAGACCCGGATTCGATTCTCCACATGGGTACAGTGTGTGAAGCCCATTTCTGGTGTCCCCCGCCGTGATATTGCTGGAATATTGATTTAAGCTGCGTAAAACCATACTCACTCACTGTCACGTGAAGGACTCTTTCTAAATGCAGTGATAATTACGTAAAAGTTCGTGTATTTCAAAAATGGTTATTTTCAGTGAGTGGGTTAAGCACAGACCTGATCACCACAATCTGTTGTCATCTTACCGCAAATGTAGACCGACTGACATGTGTAGCTCCACTATGACTGGGATAAAGGTATATTTTGTGAGACACCCAAACCAAACTGAAATGTCGAGATGGAATCCTCATTAAGATTGAGCATAAAGAAATATGGTTTTAGAGGAGAAAACGTCTTATGAAAAAATTCATGAATTGTCGAGCTAGATTCCTCATTAAGGAAAATGGGTTTAAGAGAGAGAAATGAAACATATGGTCGTCTACATTGCATAAAGCGAAGTCCTTCTGGGATCTAGTCCCTGACAACGGGCGAAATCTGAAAGTGCGCCAGTGCGCCCCAGTCCACTTTTATTGCAAAAGATGTTTGATAGTAATATGGTTGAATATCATTAAAGCATTTAAATTGGAATCCAGACATACTGCACAAAACACGTTTTATGGACATATCGAATATTTTATTCTGTTTTAATGTGCAAATGACATTTGGGAATTATTTTTGTGAACGATGAAACGATAAAATATCTCATCAAAAGCGGAGTAGTTAAGTTCAGGAAAGACTGCATCTGGGGATGTTTAAGACGACAGGGATAGTTGTAATGATTATTACTGGGATTGGAGAATGGGGAGACTGTTTGCCGTACTTGCCTCCTGCTTACCCATAGGGCAGTAAGTCATACTTTAAGTACATTGGTAGAGAACTCTGGTGTCTCTTTCCGCCGTGATGTTGGTGGAATATTGCTAAAAGCGGCGTAAAACCAAACTCAGTCAGTCAGTCAGTGGTAGAGAACGTTGAATAGAAGCATTTTATAGGCACAGGTTACCAGTTTGCATATGTTAAACGATATTAGCATTAGGTTCGTATTGACTACCTAAATTAAGATGGTACTCGGGGCATGGGGGACAGCCCACTGGTCACAGCGTTCGCTCGTCACTCCAAAGACCCGGGTTCGATTCCCCACATATGTTCAATGTGTGACGCCCATTTGTGGTGTCCCCCGCCATGATATTGTAGGTATATTGCTAAAAGCGGCGTAAAATTCAACTCACTCACTCCAGATATTCCTCAGCACAGGACTAAAGTTTCCCATTTTGTTCACAGGCATCAGGTGTAGTGATGTTTAACTGAGCTGACAAGTATTCCCGTAAGCGTTGCAGAAAAAAAAATCAAATTAAAATACTATGGAGTTTTTACACGCATCTATGTAATTCTTCATATCAGCACATCACATAAATTCAGATGTGAAACCTCCAAGCAGTTGTGTTCTTTACACAGTGAGGAATTATTCCTATTTGATACCGTTTCCTTCAATCTGTCATCTGTTGATGGCGACATATTGTGGAATGCCGTCTTTTGTGTTTTATTGCATTTAATCTCGATAATGGACCACTCTCTTGAACAAGTCACTCGGGGAAAATAACCAAGTCCAACCTTCTCTTTGGGTTCTCGTTATTTATTTTTGAATGATCCGGAACATTCTTGATAAGGCAATCAGGAATATTGTCAGAATATTCCAGACACGTTCAGGTACTTTCGTGTATCCTTGCACAGAGAGGATCATCCCAAAGATTATTTTGTTCTGAGTCTGCAAATTTAATCATTATGAATGATAGATAAAGTGTTTTTAGAACAACGAAGTAAGTACGTGATGCGAAACGTATTGTCTCCTGGTTGTCTCGAGGATGCCCGATTGCACCTTAATAATGGCAGATCAACAGACCCTGTCGAGATTAAAGGTCAAGTACACCAAGCTTGAAATACCTGCCAACTCACGCATTTGGCTTGAGACTCACGCTTTTTCATGTGACGCTTTCACCACAAAACTGATAAATCTCACGCCAAACATATGAAAAACTCACACAATAGGTCTGTAGACATCGTTTTAGTGTCTTTACTGAGAAGGGCATTTCAATTATGCGTTGGCTTCAGTTGGACCGCGCCCCCATAAAACCCACCTTGGACCCCGCATCTCAAGCTTTTTTCCGTCTTGAGGTTTGAGTGAGTGACTTTGGTTTTACGTTGCTTTTAGCAATATTCCAGCAATATCACGGCAGGGGACACCAGAAAGGGGCTGCACACATTGTACCCATGTGGGGAATCGAACCCGGGCCTTCGGCGTGAGGAGCGAACTCTTTAACCACTAGGCTACCCCAAAGCCCCCTTGAGGTTTGAAGCTCTGTAAAAGCCAAGTTATGCCTTCGTTCTTTAATGTACAGTCACTTCTTTGTTCGGGTCCTGTTCGATTTTGTACAGACCGACGTAAAAATATAGCTGTTATATTTCTGTGCGGCATAAAATGAAAATCACCCCCGGGGCAGAGCAGTTGGGCATGTTATGTCGGATCAGCTGGTCGTGGGTTCGAACATCAGTTTCGCTCTGAATCTTGGTCTGACGGCATTATACAGGGCAATCATTCTTGAGCGGAGTGATGAACGACCACCTGCGTCGTTTTTGCTTTAACTCCAAAGTTAATCCGAGATAGACTGATAAACTGAAAATGTGTTTAGATCGAAACTACAACTGTGTTTTTCGCACTTTGTATTTGACACGTTTAGGATGTTAACATATTTAGAATCATGTTTAACAGCTACACGTGTTTAGGTTCTAACTGTGGGAAATTCCCATCCATGAAGTTAAAGGAGAACCAAGAACTGATTGGAGTTCCATCATCTCCAGTCCGGGCAGTTTTTGTTAGGCAGAGGGGGATAGGGATATATGAAAATGCACAGGAGGATAAGAATATGTTTTCTTGTTTGGAAGCTGTACAGTCCGATTAACATTTGGCCAAAGAAATAAAATTACCCTATTTGAAACTATATATCGGCAACAAACAAAAATATTAAATAAGTAAAATCCAAACCATTCACACTGTAGATTTGGCAATCTAGAATTGCCCAATCATCCCAGACTTTCAAAGATTTCCAGAAACAAGATTTTCACACGAACTTGTGATCTTTTGCATATACGCGTTTACATCTTTCTTGTTTTATGCCAGTCAGCATTATGTCATCTTATATCGCAACGCTTGTTGATAATAGTAACTAGGCCTGGAAACGGTTTATAGGATCCTATAATATAGAATGATGTATCTAGGTTTATCCCATTACATCTGTTTCATAGGGTTTTATCGTGTTGGAATGATGCATATAACGTTCGACGAGATTCTTTCATATATACCTCACTTCTCCTAACTGATGTACCCTGGTACTGTGATCAGTGGTCTGTCGTACAGACACTGAAAGCAGATATACCACATACAGCCCATGCAGATCTAGAAAGTGGGGCAAGTTTGAAAATGAAGAAAATCTTTGGGCTCATTTTTATTAATTTTATTAATATAATTTAGGAAACCTTTTCTCTTTGAAGTGGTCATGTCAGAGACTAGATGTTAGTCTACGTGACCGACATAATGGGCATCTCATGTCAGCTGGCCGTGTGTCCCGCACGTCCGTCACTTGATTAGTCAGGAAATAGAAATAAAATACATGAATTGACTAAATCATACCATACATCAGTGACCCTTTTTAATAACATCACAGTTTAAGCTACGGCAGAAAAGATTAAATCTTTTTTTAAATTTTCTTTTGAACCGTTCAGCCTATTTGCGGGCAGACATTATGACGCTTTTTCTCCCCAGCCCAGGGAAATATAGGTCATATGTTATCGAATAACTCATTTACTAATACGCCTTTAACGAAAGAGTTTTGATTTGAACGTCAAGTAACCAGATGTAATTGCAGAAATGAAATAAAGTGGAGACGGGAATTCTTGAATTAGAACTCCCGGTTAAACTTGAGTCACGCTGTATATAAACTACAAATAAGCAGGGCGTGGTCGGTTGTTAGACGTCACGTGATTTGTAACATCTAAATCAGTACACAAAGACACCTAGCCCAATTACATCGTATGTCCTAAATGATGAAGCTACTGGTAATGGGGCAGATGTATGCATGTAAAGCTCCAATGCAGACATGATTAAAAGAATCGGATATGTTTTAATATATTTAGGGGTGGTTTTGTTATTTTGATATGTTATTCTGAATTTTTTAATGACGTTTGGAAAATTGGTGACTAAACGCACGATCATCACTGAGAATATTTGAGTAGGAACTGATTCCTAGTATCGCCCGAATATACATATACATATGTATGCATGAAAATACATTATACATTTGTTATACAAACAAAGAACTCCATTTGAACTGAAAACTAACTGCAGTAGGGTAGGAGATTCCAACCTGAAGAAAATCTAAACTTGCCTCATTTTGGGCTTCTGTTTTACGGAAACGGCTAGATAGCAAGTAGGTGTGGGTATTGCAGAGAATATTCATATTGCGATATATTGCGATGCGAAAGCATGTATTGCGATATGTATTGCAATATATTGCATGAAGTATTTTTATACAAAAAAATACTTATAA